TCCGAGTTCTGAATCTTAGTTCTAGCAGCTGTACATGCTGTATAAAATGCCATATTTATGCAATTTCATCCATACTTAGCAAATTGTTAATGGCTGTCATATGTCCTGATGTTTGCTTGAGCTACTGCCGATCCACATGCGCCGCATCGACTTGCACATTTACATTTATTATGTACACTTTACTGCTGGCCTTTTCTGTTGTGATGATCCCTGTTTAACCTGATCCATGAACTTGTGAAAGGCCTCAATGTAGCCCATCCCTCAGCATGGTTGTGGTAGTTTGGCAGTACTATTATACTTGAAAAGTTTCTGTCGACCGACTTGGGAGGTCGAATGAAAATAATGAACAATGAACAAAATGCCTCATGCTTTTGAGATTGTCAGAACGCAAATCTACAACTTCCGTTGCCATGACCTTATCTTGATGTTAGAATAGGAGGATCCATTTATAGCCATTAGGGAGGCAGGAGTCATGGAAGTGGTGATTAAGAAATTACACACTGGCAGTGGAAGCATGGAGGGGGTATCCCCTATGTTTTGCAGGTCTATAGTTTCGTAGCGGTCATTAAATTCTTGAAAAATCTTTAAATCTTCTTGTGGTCATGAAATTCCTGGAAAAGTCATTAAATGTTTGTAGAAAATGAATAAAGTCATTAAAAGTCATTAAATTTTCATCTTTTACATCAGTACTTTGCACTATAAGCAAGTTGATCTGCGAATCGAGGACAGTTATTCGTGTTATGTCAAAGCCCTGTAGTGTCACATCAAAGGAACACGATTTAATCACAATCGAGCATGTTGCCAGCATTGTAGAATTGCACATAATGATTATTGTAGTCATTAAAAAGTCTGAAAATGGACTATAAAAGTCATTAAAAGTCTTTGAAGTTTTGGGGTCTTGATACTACATGTATGAACCCTGGGTTTTTTAATGGCTGATGTCTGATTGTCTCACAAATGACCCCCACTTTGAAAAATCTGCCGCTGTTGGACTCATCTACATGACTGGTAGCAGAGTTGTTGACGTGATTTGCTAACTTTGACTCGGCTTGACTTGAGACTTGACTTGTTTTGGCAGACAGGTCAAGTCCGTTTTTCACTTTGGAAGACA